CAGCAGTTTCTCCAGGGAATTACATTTTGGCAGTGTGGAGAGATTGCTGTCTGTCAGGCTTTGATTGTAAATACCCAGTCTTCTCACAAGCAACAGGTGGTAAGCCTGTGTTTCCTTTATCCGGCTAGATACATCATTTTATTACTGCCTGTGAAATTTTTGTTCATTCTTGGCTCTGCCTTTCACTTGAGTTAAGGAGATCAGCTTTCAGTATCTACATAATTTGTTCCCATCTCTGATGTTTAGATACCAGTTTTAATAGAAAAATATGATACAAATAATAGAATTTGGAGTAGTTAGGTACCATATTCAAATTCCTTCCAAAGTCAACTTCAGCTCAGCTTCCTGCCTGCTCTGTCCTCGTCTGGGTTTAACTCAACGGGTCTGCACTTGTCTGTGTCTTGGAGTCATCTGTTAGATCCTCCTCAACCCGCCCCAGTTCTGGTGGGATCCACCTGGGTGCACCATCAGGATTTCTCAGGGTGAGTCAAGTGAGCCCCCAAGTTTGAGAACCACTGTTTACATTGTGTGCGATGACATCAACTCCCAGTCCTGGGATCGTTAGCACTGGTAGGAGTAGTTAACACTCACTGCCCCGGGACATCCTGCCCTTCATGTATGTAACCCTCACAGTTCTGAAGTAGTTACTTTCAACATCTTTCGCTTTACCGATGAGGAAGATTAAATAACTTCCTGAAGTTATACAACTGTAAGGGGTAACATAAGGAACATACATGTTAGGTCCTGTACACAGAAGGTAAAGAATTAAAAAACATTTTCTAGTAATTTTTGGATCGAAACAAAAATTCAAGCCGTCAGCATAGAGAGGTAATTTTTTTCAAAAACATTTATGGTTTTACACACTGTTGCTTTTATTTTCCAACTGGAATTCCTGTGCCAAAGAGAATGGATTTGTAAAATCTTAGATATGGTCAGATTACATTCAGAAAACCAGCCCCTTCCCTTTTATTTTTGTCGATTTGATGATTTAAAAATGCGGTTTCCTTTCAAGTAGTTTTCACTTTCTTGATGCCTACCAAGTGAGTCTCTTTTCCCGTGTTTACTGGCCATTTAAAATTGATCTCCTTTCACGTGCCCTTTTTCTATGTCATTAATTCAGAGAAATTATTTTCATTATGGCTGTCAGTATTCTTGTCTGTCATATCTATTGCAAATGTTTCCCAGTCTGCCTTTTTATCTAGTTTATGATAGTTTTTTTGCCAGGAACTTTAAATAATACCTATGTAGTAAGACATCAGGGAATCTTGGTGACGCATCAGCCAAGTGCTCGACTGCTAACCGAAAGGTTGGTGGTTCGAACCCAGCACCTCTGCAGGAGGGAGACCTGGAGATGTGCTTTCACAGAGCACAGCCTGGGAAACTCTGCCGGGTGCTGTGTGTCCCACGCGGTCCCTGGGACTTGGACTCGGTGGCACCCAACAACCACCCCAAGACTTACCTGTCTTTCTGGTTGCTGGGTGTAAGCTGATGCTGCCAGAAGTCCACTCGCTTCAGGGCGTGATGGGAATCACTGTCAGCCCAAAGCTGATTCCTGTGATGGGACAGTCACACGCCTGCACTCGTGGGGAGGTAATGCTTACAGGTGATGGACAGCCTGGTCTCATGCGTCCATCCAGGAGGGCGATCTTCAAAACCCCAGAGTGCAGATTCAGAATAAACTACAGGCAAGTGAGAAACACATAAAGGCGTGGGGGCCGTGTCTTCCAACCTCTGGCTTCACAGGGGGCATAGAGAATCACCAGCAGACCTGGGCTGGTTCCAAGGCGGATCAGACAGGCCGCTGCCCTCCAGCCTCTGACCCTGGCTGTCCCTCCCACGGCCCTCTCTACTTCTCTGCTGGGTTGACTAATTCGTTGCAATGGCCACACAGAACTCACAGATGATACTCACAATCTCGAGTGTTAGGGAAGTACCACATTACAGTTCAGGTTCGGGAACACTCAGGATGCAATTCTTCCATCAGGACAGCTTCTCAGCCGGGCTGCAGGCATGCTTCTGTCTGGCCGTGGCCTGTGCCCTCCTTGGGCCAGTGTTTATAAAGGTCTTTTAGCTTTGCCGATAGCTGCCCGAAGAGGCACCGCAGTCCACTGACACACCTCCTGCCCAAAGGCACTCAGCTTTCTCCCTCCATGGCCCAGGAGGACTGTCTCATGCCAGTCACCCTTTTTTAAAATTTTTTATTGTGATGTGGCTACATATTTACAAAAGCACATGCGTTTTACTCTCACCAGTTACACACATTTGGTTTCACAGCCTGGATTACAATCCCCACCCATAAACAGCTCTCCTCGCCTCTTCTCCCTGTGCCCCTCTCCCTGTGTTCTTCTTACCTGTGCATTTCTGTCTGTCCAGCTTTCCCTGTCTGCAAATGCTGCCCTTCTGATGTCTCATGGTGGATCGATCTAATGGGTTCATCTC